GGAAAGGATGTATGTGGGAGAGAGAGAAAGAACAAGAGAGAAATAGGGTGATCCTATTGAGAATAAGTTTAGATTAAGGACTTGATATTCTTTGTTTTAAGTTATGGTTGAATTTATTTATTTTCTTTAATTTTTAATTTTTATTTTTATTGAGACAAAGTCTTGCTATGTTGCCCAGGCTGGTCTCAAATTTGTGGGCTTAAGTGATCCTTCTGCCTTAGCCACCCAAGGAGCTGGGACAACAGGCATCCCCCACCACTCCCAGCTGAGACTTGGTATTCTAAACACTCGCTTTGGGGGCACATACTTGCTCAAGTGATTTGCATGGGAGAAGGACCCTAAGAAGCTATTTGGGAGTGGAAGAACTAGGGCTAGAGACAATAGAGACAGGTCAATCAAGAGTTTATAACCCTAGGGAGGGCAGAGCTTCCTTAGAGAAGGTATAATGTCCCCCAGAGACCACAATGCCTAATGGAACGCAAAAGATGTTCTGTGGACAACCAGCAGACACTCCCTGGGCTTCCCAGAAATTCCCAGGGGTAGACATTGCATTTGCAGGGAAAAAGCTCCAAGCCAGTGCATTCAGAATGTGAGCACTGAGTCGACATCTCCCACAAGCATTTGTAGGTGCCAGTGACTGAAATGTCTGCATTATGTGTGGCTATGTCTAGAAAAAGGAAGACAAAAGAAAAAGTCATTTTCTCTGGATATAAGATTATGGTTGTTATTTTTTAACTTTTAAATAATTTTTCAAATGTTTCTGTGATGAGTGTTTTGTTTCATTTTATTTTATTTTTTTGAGACGGTCTTGATCTGTCACCCAGGCTGGAGTACAGTGGTGCGATCTTAGCTCACTGCAACCTCCGCCTCTCAGATTCAAGCGATTCTCCTGCCTCAGCCTCCTGAGTAGCTGAGATTACAGGCCTGCACCACCATGCCTGGCTAATTTTTGTGTTTTTAGTAGAGACGGGGTTTCACCATGTTGCCCAGGCTGGTCTTGAACACCTGACTTCAAGTGATCTACTAGCCTTAGCCTCTCAAACTGCTGGGATTACAGGCATAAGCTACTGCACCCAGCCTGTGATGAGTATTTTATAATAAGGAACATCACTCATTTTTAACCCATCTCTGGCTTCCTTATGTTCCTCTTGCCTCCATGCCTCCTGCTGGCCCCACCATGCACACACACTCTGTGTTGTCACCTACCCATAAGAATGGAAACTCTGGCTTTTGCTGGGGTTCTGTCCCCCAGGGCACAAGAAGGAACTGGGGTGGAATAGGCCTGGGCTTGACTAGGTAGTTCGTAATCTGCCTAGCTGGCAGCCATGGCACAGCAAACTTGAGCTGGGTGACCTCTACTTCATACTTTTTGTCATTGATAAAAATCACCGCACTTTGTTGACTTTGCTATTTCTACCCACAGAGGAATGTAGAAATACATGAAATCTGCTAAATGATCCATTTAACTATGTGGTAAACACTCTGTAAACCTGTTTACCCAGCCAAAACAGTCCCCTTTGTCATGTTTTACAGGGTCATTTGATTTAATTCCCTAAGTCAACACAGGGTTTGTTTTCTTATAAAGGAAAAGAGGATAAGGCTTATCAAAATTAATTGACTCAGGACAGTTTCCCTTGAGGGTAAACCAAAGGACAGTAGGAGAAAGGGTGCAAAGGAGCTTCTGGGTTCCAGTAATGGTGTTTCTTAATCTGGATGCTGGTAACTTGGGTTTCCCTTTGTGAACATCTATCAAGCTGTACACAGGATTTGCATTCTCAGCACTCTCACTGCAGCCTCCCCCTCGACCCTCTCCTCCTGGCTGGCTACCCACATCCTTCACTGATTGCAAGAGAAATAATCTGGCTGCTTTGTGGTTATTGGTTTCATGTGTGTTTCTCACTAGATTCTAAGTCCACTGGGCTTGTGTGTCCCCTGGACCTGCTGCTGTGGACCCTGAGTCTGGTGCAGTGCCTGGCAAGATGGCATGAGAAACCGTTTGTAAGGGAATGATGAAGAGGCAAAGAGGGAGACAGAACAGTGGGGTTGGGGGAAGAAGACAGAAAGGAGAAGGGGAAGGAAGGAGAAAGGAAGAGTTATGTCTCTCAAGATCTGGGTATTCCGAGGCATGGCTAGAGGTGGGTGAGTGGGAGCACTCAGGAGTGTGCTGACATGATCGAGTAAGGAGTCTCTGGAGGAAGAAGTCTCTGAGAGAAGGTGGTCTCTCTGTGGGCAAGACTGGTTCAAGCACTGTAGCCTAGGTCCTTGAGGAGGGAGGATGGGGACCCTGAGCCTAGTCTGGCTCCAATTTTCTGCTGGCTCAAAGCAATTGCAGAAAAAAGAGCTATTTCTTTGCATTTCGTTAGGACACTGAACACTAAATGTCAGCAGCAGGAGTGCGGTGACCAGTCACATGAGGGGCAGCCGTGGTGTGGCAGAGGAAGTGCGGGTATAGCCACTGCACAATGGCAGTAACACATTTGCTACACCCACAGTTGCACTGGAAGAACAGCCCTCACAGGCCAGGTTTGGGCAGCCGCAGCAGGATCAGTGTATTTAGTAGACACAGGTAGTGGCAGGGGAGGCCCCAGTGGGGCTCCGTGACACAGAGGCCATCATATACAGTAAAGGATGCATGCCCCAAAGGGCTACATCTCAGGGCAGCTATGCAGTGCTCAGCAGGGAATGCCAGAAAGGCATTGGAAGGATTTAAGGGGCATGCCACATGGTCTGCAGAGGTGGAGCAAGTCCAGCTAAGAACTTACTGTTAGGTGTTGCCCAGTTTATAGCCCTTGGCTGGAATTTTCTGGAAAACACAAATCACTGAGAGTTGGCTTCTAAAGAGCACCTATAAATGGGAGGAAGAACACCAAAGAATCAAAGATGCCAGAAAAGAAAACAGCCCCTGGGATTTGTGAACAGGTGTTCTTGACAGGGTCCCTCACCTAAGCCATTCTTCCGGCACAATTATCACCCAGAGCTGCTTGTTTCTTCGCACGTAGAACACTCCATCGGGAGCTGTTTCCTTTTTTAACTCAATACTCCCAAAGACTGCTCTGGGGATAACAGCTCCCACTCTCAGGGGGAAAAATATCTTTTTAGAGATGGGAGATGACAAAACCATCATCAATAAGCAAGAAAACTCCCAATTATTTTTCTTGAGACACTGTCTTGTGATACATCCTTGTGGGTAGGGCTTCCTGAAGCATTTTCTCACTATTTTTTCTGAAACTATGACTTTCCAACATTTTTCATTGCATACCCTATTAGTAAAATCATTTTGAACATGCACCACAAGTATCTGCATATTTATTCTCTGATTATATTTATACAATTTTGTGTGTGTGTGTTGTTTACTGTATTTATAGTGAAAGTTCTAATAGAAGGTGTCCGCTGGGGTGCAGGCATCCCACTAAACAAACACAAGGCAGACAGGGCAAGCATCATACTCCTCAGTTCATGGATTAGTAGACGAAGCCTTGGAGGGAAATAGACTTGACTAGGTCACATAGCCAAAAGTTGCAACACTGGGGTTAAAACTGACTTCCGTACTTTCCAGCTTCTCAGATTTTTCATTCATATGCCTGTAATACCTACCCTTGTTTTTGTTACTAACTTTGTTTTTAGACTCTCCTTTTCTCGCTTAATCACCTAGCCTTATTTCCACATGAATAAGCTCTCCCTTAGCTGAGAAAGCCAGACGAACTCCATTAAGCTCCGTCATTTGCAAGGCTTCAGGGACTCCTTACCCAACCCCTTCCTCAAGCAGTTAACTTGTGTAAGCAGACTCTCAACATATCAGAGTCAAATTAACTGATAAGATACTGAAGCAAGCAATGTACAAAGTTCCCAAGATTTTGCTCAAGAGATAACACCATAAAGCCTTGAGTTTGTGTCCGGCAGAGCCCACATACGTAACATCTTATGAAAGATTTAGAGCCCCTGCACGTGGAAATTGTTTGTTTCTCTGTAATCATTTGTCTTTTTAACTGTTTACATGTTTTTACTTCTGTAGAATTGTTTCAACTGAGCTCCCCTCCCCTTCCTAACCCGAAGTATAAAAGAAAATCAAGCCCCTTCCTCCAGGCGGAGAGAATTTTGAGTGTTAGCCGTCTCTCCATCGCCGGCTAATAAAGGACTCTTAAATTCGTCTCAAAGTGTAGCGTTTCTCTAACTCGTTCAGGTACAACAAGCCACATATCCCTTTCTACTCATCAGAGTTTGGGAATGGACCAGTCATATCAGTTTTTGGTAATTTCCACATTGTTTCCCTGCTTTACCTATTTTATCGTTATTGCCTATAGCATAAGGTATGCTATGCCATCAGGGTTCTGGAATTGGCTTCTAAAGAGCACCTATGAATGGGGAGGAAGAACATCAAGGAATTAAAGATGCCAGAAAAGCAAACAGCCCCTTGGATTTGAGAACAGGAAACATGCACTTTACACGCCTCATCTCTTTCTGCCCCATCCAGTAAGCAGGGATGATGCAGAGACCTTCCCTGGGTCTCGCCTTGCCCAGGAGTTAACGTGTTCTACGATGTGTTTGTAGAAAGAAGATGGTCTGTCTAGTAGAAAGAGATGTGATGTGATTGACATGGAGTGGCCACTCTTGACACTGGAGACATGGCAATTGTACTTCCCTATATGAGAATGAGGCTGGAAGGAAGGTTGCTTCCCTCAGTCTTTTCTCAGCAGAGGTGTTTTGTAAAACAAAACCAAACAAAGCACCAATTCCCTGAAGCAGAATAAAGATAAAGAAACTTAAATATCTGGAAACAAGAAAACCACAAGAGCCAAGAAATGGGCAGCTCAGGGGCCCCAGGAAGTGAGGTGGGATCAGGCAGAAATAGGCTTGGGGAGGAGGATCTGGAAGCTATTGCTGTTTACAGCCAATGTCCTCTCTCTCTCCAACAAGTGGCAGGCCACTGCCCAGTGCTGAAGTCACTGTTTAATGAAGGTGGAGCCTGCCTTTACCTGGTACACCCATATAAGGAAAAGCCTGAGGGCAGGAGCAAGCAGACACCAGCACTGCTCTTTCTCCAAGACGGCCAGCCGGCTGGCCATGTTCTCCTCTGCCAGTCTCCTCCACCACTCTCTATCCCGAGAGCCTGTGGAACCTGCCTGTCTCCCCTCCTCCATCAGACGCACCTGTCTAGGAAACAGGTAAGATGTGAGTGGTCATCTCCCAGAGCTGTGGACCAAGGCAGCCCTCTAAACATTAGTGAGCATGTACAATTTTCTAGAGAGCTTCATGATGTCAGTTCTGAGTTCCCACCTCCCAAGGTACTGGGTGTTTTTGATGCAAGTGGCCGAAGGATATGCTTTAAGAAACACTGGGGCAAAGGGGGAGTTGATTTTCTAAGAGAAGCTAATCCAAACTTTGCATAGTTCAGGCAAAGACAGTATTTCTTAATCATTCTGTCACCTTTGATTTCTGCTCATTCTAAGTTGTGACCTTGAGGGCTGTGTTTGTCATAAGGACACATTGATGGCAGAAATCATGCCTTCTTTGTGCACTGATGTGTAGTTTCTGATAGATAGTAGGTACTTAATAAACATTTGCTAAAGGGAAGAAGGGGACCTGGGCCCTTTGTTTTCTAATCATCTAGCTTATTAGTTATAGGAATGAAGTTGACAACTCTGGGTTAATCACAAAAGATGGATCATTACAACTTCAGAGATTCAGGAGGTTCCTACATGCCTCTAGTGGTGTCATGGTCACACATATGTGTCTCTATAACTGCTAAAGTTGTGTAATCTTTGAGATGTGATGCTGTTCTCAGGGAGACAGTTCCAGCTGCTCCGCTTGGACCCAAGTCAACCAGATTAGAATACGTGCAGATATTTTCCCTCTATAGTTATAGTTGGGGCATGAACTATACTGACTGTCCCATTTGTCCTGGATCACAAGCACAACTTTGTTTACCCCCAAATGGCATTAACTTGACTTTCAGTCAGATTATCCTCTTGAATTGTCTCACCTTTGTACCCACCTTGACACAAGTGTTGTGGGTTTTTTGTTGTTATTGTTGTTTTGAAGTTTGGAGGAGTGACAGCTGCAGGAAGGCTTACTTATTAGTAGATTGGTTGATGGAAATGTAATAATCTACCAACTGTGTAATAGGCAAAAGGTTTATGTAGCATAAGTTCATCATCCCAATTTGTAGATGGAAAAAGTGAGGGACCTGGTGAGTGACTTGCTGCTAAAGTTTATTCCAGATGCACATGACAGAGCTCGAGTTCTGTTGTGCCTGATAGGTACCCTGTCTTGTCCCCTAGTTATTTGGTTGTATTCAGTTACTGTCTTGAAAGGACACCTTAGAAGAAAAGGTGCTATGAAGAAATGCACACATAAGGCCAAGCACTGTGGCTCACACTTGTAATCTCAACACTTTGGGAGGCCGAGGGGGACAGATTGCTTGATCCCAGGAGTTCAAGACCAGTCTGGGCAACATGGCAAAACCCTGTCTCTACAACAATAAATTAAAAATTGGGGATCTGGGAAAAAAATACTAGCTACATGTGGTGATGCACACCTGTAGTCTCAGCTACTGGGGGCAGGGGGAGGGGTGCCATGGTTGAGGTGAAAGGATCGCTTGAGCCTAGGAGGTTGAGGCTTCAGTGAGCTACGATCATGCCACCGCACTCCAGCCTGAGTGACAGAGCAAGACCTTGTCTCAAAACAAACAAACCAAACAAACAAACAAAAATCACCAACCTGCTGGCCCGGAGGCTCACTCCGTATCAAGCATTGTGCCTGATACTTCCACACGGTGAGCTGTGTGATTTGGGGCATGCTCCTTAACCTCTTGGGGGGGGTCTCAGTTTCCTCATCGCTAAAACATGGTAGCAACAGTAATCTACCCCAAAAGATCAGTGAAAGGATCAAATGAGATCGTATATGGAAAGCACTTAACAGTACTTGAGCACATGGCAAGTGCTGAAGACATTTTAGTTATTATTGTTGACATTATTTTAGCCTGGGTTCTCTACAAAACAAAGCCTGAGGCAAAGCTTAAATGCTACTTAGCGCTTAAGGTAAGACACCAGGGGAGTGAGAATCAGGGAAGTGGGAAATGAGAGGAGAAAGGGGGAAGCAGTGACGGATGATGTGCCACCACCTGGCCTCTCTTCACAAAGAGACATGGCCAGCCACTTGGCCAAAGCAGGACCCCGCTGGACTGGCACTGCAGATGCATTGTGCCTTGGAACAGTCCATCCGAGCAAGGGTAAAGAGGACATTTATCTGTTGGTTCACTCTCTGTCTTCTATTATTGTTCAAAGCTTGCCCTATGGGGAGTTAACTGTCCTGCACTTCCAGCTTGTGTCTTCTGACCCCCATGGCAGCCAGTGGGAAAACTAGATCTAATTGCTAGAGGCTTGGCACCTCATCTGAGTCCAGAAGTGGTCAGAAGAGCCACTTCCTTGGATGGAGTAAAAAAGGAACCAAGAGTCCTAGAGACAGGTTGAGGCTAAGAGAACCTGAGATGGCACCTAAGAAAGGTTTAATAAAGACTGAATTATCATTAATATCTGCCGAGCACTGTGTACGGCACCAGTGTTCCTGCCTAGATGTCACCTCTTTCTCCCATGAGAAAAACCATAAAGGGAACCTTGGATAGGCTGGCCCATTCCATCTCTCCTCAGTGTTTGGAAGAAGTCAGGTTGAGGGCATCCTAACTCTCTCAGAATTGTCCATGGTGTAGCATGCCACTGATAGACAGCAAGAAAGTCCACAGCCATGGAAAACATCAGAGCAGAATCAAGAGGAGGTGTTGATTTTCTACCACCTTTGGGACTCTAGCTTTTGGACAAGTGTTTCCTAAAGCATGGTTTACATACAACACTAATTTTGGGGGCTGTTGCTGGGGGCTCCTTGATATAAAGCATTTATGATCAAATATTTGGATGAATGTTGCCTCCTACTCTTCCCTCCTCAGAGAGTTATGATTCCAATTTACTTAAAAAGGCTCGGTTCCCACCTGTAATCCCAGACTTTGTAAGTCCAAGGCAGGCAGATTGCCTGAGGTCGGGAGTTCAAGGCCAGTCTGGCCAACACGGTGAAACGCCATCTCTACTAAAAATACAAAAAAATTAGCCGGGCACGGTGGCATGCACCTGTAATCCCAGCTACTTGGGAGGCTGAGGCAGGGGAATTGCTTGAACCAGGGAGGTGGAGGTTGCAGTGAGCTGAGGTCGTGCCACTGCACTCCAGCCTGGGTGACAGAGTGAGACTCTGTCTCAAAAAAAAGGCTCTGAGAAGGCCAAAACAAAGGAACCAGTTGAACTGAGTGCACCAGAACTTCCCATACTGAACTCCAGTTGAAAACACAGCTTTGGACCATGTGTTCATGGGCTCAGTCTCTTTTTTCTTGATTCCTGAATTATCAGGGGACTCTTCTCCACTATGCACTACCTTTTGCTTTGCACAAACCCTGTTGAATAAAAACCTCTGCAGTATAAGGAAGGCTGTGTGGTGCATGAGAAGCTTTTACCAATCTGCAGAGCTCGTTCTCCCAGGAAACAACCAGGAAAGCTCAGCCAAGCCTTGTTTCCTCATCTCAATAATGAAGAGTGAACCAGGCGATCCCCAAGGGGTGTCCCAACCTCTTGTAATCCATAATACTCATGTTGAAAGGCAGCTAAAGGTCACCTCGTCTACCTCTTGCGTTGCCTCAGAGATAGACTAGCGAATAAAGAGATCCAAATTGTTAAGACAAGTTGTAGGGGTATGAAGTGGAGGTCTGCCCACTGCCGCCCTCTCTGGTGAGCTGAACATGAGATGGGACGTGTACCATGTCCCACAGTAGTGGCCGGAGCGATGAGCTGCCTCTAAGGACTTGGGCTGGAGGACAGCCAGGACTCGGGGGTTAATATCCTCACTTCAGCCAAGTAAGTCCCGAGGGATGTTTAAAACTGGGAGTAGCCAGGAGGTTTATTTCCTTTCCCTCTGAAATAATGGTCCCTCAGGCAGCACTCTGCCCTCTGATCTCCACTGGACAGCCCTGCCATGTCCACCTCCCATGCCTGTGGACCAGGGTCTGACCAGCACCTCCCACACAGCTCAGAGAAGTGAGCCAGACCCCGTCCCAGCTTGCAGACCAGAGACACGAGGGGCGCTGTCTCCATCAGAGCCACACACCTGCCTTCGGGAGATGCACCCAGTGGCCCACTAGAGACCACTGGTTCTCAAGGGCCTGAGGCCGGAGAGGTGATGGAGAGATGACAGGAAACTTTGCCCCCATTCTCCTCGCCAAACATTCTCTCTTCTCCCCAGTCTAATCCTTAACCAGATGTGGCTGTCAACCAGCTGAACTACATATACCATTAAGCCCCATCTCAGAAAGCTCTAGCTTTCTTGCAGGAACTTAAGATACTGTCAGATGGCATGGCCCTGCGGGGAGACGAGGGCAGAGGCTTTCTGCAGGGGCTGGCTCCTGGAACTCCAGCCAAAAGACCACCCCAAGCATGTTCTGTCAACCCAGGGGCTGTCCTGAGCCAGTGCTACCATCCCCTCAGACCTGTCCTCAAACTGTCTTCCTCCTCAGCCAGGTCATCTTCCCTAGGTGGGCACGGGGATTCCCCACAGCTCCCTGCCTGTTCTGGAACATAGGCTAGACAGCAAGAGGGGCGGAGGTCTCCCGGGACTGCGTCTCCCTCTCTTCTCAGGCAGAGGCTCCCAGGCCTGTACCCCCTGCCCCAGGTCCTATCCTTCCCACCATCTCCCCAGTGGGCCCTGCACGAGCTGGTTTTTAGGTCGTTTCTGCTCCTCTCTCTTTCCTCTGTCTTTCCTTCTTGCCTTCAGCCCTTGCCTTCAGAAGCTCTGGCTCTCCCCATTTCTTAGGGCTGGAGAAGGAAAGAATGACAGAAGGAACAAGGGAAACCTCAGGGGCCTAACCACCACCCTCCCTAGCCTGCCTTTCTCTGCTTCACTCACTCACTTAGACATGTTTACATTTGCATTTACACACACACACGCATGCACATACACATTCTAAGCTCCTTCTTTTTCTTGTTGCCTTTTAACATATTTAATATAGAAAGCTCTTATTTTTGAAAAACATTTCTCCTCCCACTGGTCCACACCCTGACCCCAGAGATGGGACCCCACCTGCTTGGATGGAAGCTTGCTCCAGAACAAGAAGGTTGGCCTGGGCCTCCAT